CGTCTAAAATTCTTCAATTGAAAGTGCAAAAAGGAGAAAGTGCTTTATGCAAACACATATTACGTCTAAAATTCTTCAATTGAAAGATTCACAACAATAAAATTATGAAGAACAAGAACTTCATACCATTGTGAAGAATAGTTGCTGGGTAAAAAAAGAACGCCACTTTAAAGAAAATAAGCCCATTAATTTGTGTCTTTTCTTCCAAGATCAAAAGAACTCCCTGGAACAATTTCTTCAACAATTTGAGACCACAAAAATAATTTAGTCTCCCATTTTTTTTCTTCATTTCTTCAACAAAAAAAATACTAAGAACACCAAGAACAAAAATTTCCAGCAAGGAATTTGATTGAGCAACAACAACATAATTATTCTACTAAGTAAGAATCACCCCAGTAAAATAGAAAAGTCATCAGAAATTTCCGGTTTGAACACGAAAATTCTTGCAAAAACACAAAAAGCTTCAAGATAATCACCGAACGGGAGTCGTTCCCTTGAACTAGCCAATTAAACCTTTAAGGTACGGCTCTGATACCAATTATAGGAACCCAATTTTTATACGAACGGTGGATGCGGAAGAAAAATATCTCGAGATTTATCGTGTATCAAAATATAAATATATGAAGAACATGATGAGAATTCTTTGAAGATGAGAAAGAAAAAGAGATAAAATATAATTCATGAAGAACATTGGTGGGAGAGAGAAGCTCTCCGTGGATGGGAGAAATCCCACCACTTTCTCTCTCTAGAATTATATTGTGAGAAAAGGTGCATAATAAGAAATGACCACCTCTCCCTTTATATATGAGGGAGAGACAAATACACCAACAATATAATAATGGGGAAAAATACAACCTAACTATCACTCATTATTTGTGGAGCATTTCCACGCTCCAACAGTTATGCAAACAATTAAGCACTCATAGAACTCACATGCATTGTCAACTTCAACTGGAATGTCACAGAAACAAGAATATATCAACACGATAGGTTACAAACCTCAAGTCGTGTGCTAGTAATTAACAATAGGTTTAATCTTGATTAGTTCTTGAAACTTTTCAAGATCTTTAAGACCCCCACTAACCTCTTGACATACAAGATTCTCTTGTCAAGAAACATTCCTTGACAAATAAATATTCATAAGTTAGTGTCGATTCTTATCAAGAATGACACTTCATATAACCGGTCTTAGATGGTCTTTGTCTTATCCAAGACATCACAACTCCCAATTACAAATGTGTTATAAACCTACTTAAGATATGTCACTCAAGTTATAATCTTGGAGTATAACTTTACGACTCGATATTGGAACGAAGTATGATTTACCTTTTGATTTAACCATTTCAACAATTCACGATTCCTCTTCTTAGCCATACAAATGCATTAAGGTGTCCTTAGAGGATCACTTGTGATATGGTTCCATAATCATTAAGATGATCATAAAACACAATACTTAAGTACTCTCCTTTCCTTTCAGATTGGAGAAACTTTTATCTCTCTGTCTAATTTGATTCTTCTTATTCGTTCTTCCACACATTGAAACTTTTTCAATGATTCAAAATTACACTTAATCTTGTAAACATAACCCTATTTACTAAACTTTTAGTAAACCATGATGAATTTTCTTATCGTTCTTTGTGGTGGACTTGATCAGTTCACATCAATGTGTATTGGATCTCTTAGTCCTTCACTTGACTCACATATACATGTGAACAAGGAATTAGTCTTAATTTCCCAAAGATGAAAGTTCTCATTCATTGCACAATACAAGTCTCATGATTCCAAGTTTTTCAATCCGATTGAAACTTGGGTGATAAGAATCTTTCCTTATTTGGTAAATTCTAACATTACCACAAACAAAAAAATCAAATCCATTTCCCAATATTTCTAACAATAGAAATATACTAACATCAATTTTCACAAATGTCATTACAAGGAAATATAAAACAAGATAAAATCAAAATTTTATTTATATATAAAAATGCGGAAAACTTGTCCTTACAATGCAAGTACAAATGAAAACTATGTTACTAAATATTTATAAGCAATCTATCATGACTTGTAAGTAGCAGCTCAAAAATCTGATCATCAAGCCATGCGATCGAAATTCATTTCTTCACGATCAGACTCATCACACTCTTCCTTTAAGCTTCATTTGATTCTACAAAATATCAAAATGTAATATCATCACATCATGTATTAAGAATCCACAAATCGGAACTTAATAGAGATAGATAGTGGACTTACCTGAAGCAGAGTCAAACAGTTTGACTTTACCATCCTTGTGGTCCTTTAGTTAGATACGGAAGCTTCACAACCAATGCCTCTTCTCTTGGCAATAGAAACAAACAGATTCTTTTGGAAAGGTACACGGGACAATCTCAAACTTAGCCTTTCTCTTTACCATTTAGTGAAATGACTTGACCATGGTCGATCCTTTTCCATTGGTAAGAGAAGACATTCCTGGACTTCTAATGTTTCCATTGTCGATGTCCATGAAAGTTTGGGAAGTATATCTTCCAATCAAATTTGCTTTACCAGTGTGCCAAATCATTGCTGATTCAGCAGCAATTAGCAAATAGGTAAGATCGATAAGGGTCATTTCGCAGTCTGTCATATAGTAATCTTTAATGAGCTCACTATATGAATCAGGATGTGATTTAAGAACAAAGTCAACAACCAACTTCATCGAGACAACAACACCCAACATCCCGAGCCTGCCAATATGCAACTTCATCTCCAAGACGTGAGCACATATAGACTTTCCACCTTGGTGTTTACTAGCCAATAGGGCTTGAGTGACCTTGAACTTTTCAAGACTTTGAACTTGTGGTTTAGGGAGAACTATAGGAGGAGGTGGAGGAAGTGAATTATGATTTCCATTTCCATGATCCAAACATGGAACATCATCTTCATGTGTAAAACTTTTTCCAAAATATTCGGGAGGACCATAGTTGTTAGAACTAGACATCTACAAGGTAGAAATTCAAGTAAGTTGATTTAAGTCCTTAATATGACACCCAAAATGAAATATTAAGGCTAGGACCCAACATAATAGTTTATAATTAGAAAAAGAGATGTCGTAATCTATGTGCAAAATATTTGAAGGTAGGTAAATGATGAATTACCAATTTCCACCATGAAAAACGAAAATGAACATTAGGTTTTAAATGAATTGAAATTCCTAGATTCTTTGAGATTCATTGAACTCTTCAGTGGCATGTTTAATCTCGATTATGCCCTTCAAGTTTGTGACTGAGATACCGAGGATCACAAACAAGGTGTGAATGACCATGGAAATTAGCTTGGTACTCTGAAAGACATCTATCACATAATCAATGTGCCGGTTAACCACACACACTCCATTGATCTATGATAATATCCAAGCTACCCATTTCCATCCTACATTAGTCAACGTGTCGGTTAACCACACGCGCTCCACTAACTGGCCAATAAGGTGTAATGTGCAATTTCATGCGTTAGCATCAAATTCACATTTTTCCTAAAGTAACTAAGATTGGAAATTTATAAATATTTAGTTACTTTATATTTCATTATACTTTTAATGAAGAATTAAATGTCATGTCAAACCCGTTCGGCTAACAACCCTCCACTGGTCAAGGGTGCGGTGTGTAAGAATGGATACCCAATGACGGTCATTTTGTAGGTCGTTTCCTTAAACACCCCTTATAGACCAACTTCGTGAAGGAGGCATACTAATGGTAACACTAACGTTTAACTTATACATATATAATATATTAAACTTTTAATTTTATATAGTATAAAGGTGTATTTTATACATTTAAAATACTAGGTGGTTTAATCTATTAATTAAACTAACTTTTAATTTAATCAAATTCAAACCACATAATTATGGATTTATTAACACTCCTTTAATTAATGATTAACAAATCCAAAATTAAAAACTTTTAATTCTCAATTTAAGTTACGTAGCCAAAATGTTTAGCATTTAATATTTCTCAATTAAAACCTTTTTAATCAAATCTAAAATTCCAAAACTTGAGGGCAAGTTTTAAAACTTCTCTTTGTTCCATAAAAGAGGCTTTCCAAGTTCCATAACTTGAGGGAAAGTTATAATACTCTTCAAAGCCATTTAGATCAAATTTTGTAACCTTTCAAGACTCTTGGATTCCATAACCTAAGGAGTTAATTTGTTTCATGAATGAGACTTTTCATATTCATAACTTATGGAGGTTTCAAAAACTCTTTCGATCAAACTTTTAAACTAATAAAATAATCATATCATTTATCTGTTACTAAATTGACCTAATTCAACTCTTGTATCAATCATTACCATATCAACTTTACAAATAATTAGTTTTTCAAAAAATCAAGTAATTGTCTTAAAATTTGGCAATCATCATGTTATTGGATGGGGATAATCATTACCATATCAACAAAATCAAATTTTATGAACCAAAACACTTTGTGGTAATGATCCTAATCCAAAACAAGTCAATAACTCAAAAATTCTGCCAACAGACTGCCCAACTCGTCGAGTCAGGGCATGGACTCGATGAGTTCATCCCCAAATGATCCAATATATTCTGCCAACAGACTGCCCAACTCTTCGAGTCTATGATCTCATTGCTCCACTACTAGAAAACTAGTGTAATAGCTACAGCACAATCCGTAGCTATTCCGTAGCTATAAGCGAATAGCTACGGAAAAATCCCTGTAGCATAATGGCCCGTGGGAAAATTATAGCTACGGATTAGCTACGGAATAGATACAGAATAGCTACGGAATTTTCCGTAGCTACCATAGCTACGGAATAGCTACAGAAATATATAGCTACGGACTTCCTACAGAATAGTTACGGAATTTAATAGCTGCAGAATAGCTACGGAACTAAATAGCTACGGAATAGCTACGGAAGTAAACAGCTACGGATTTTATGTAGCTAATCCGTAGCTAATTGCTTTTTATTTAAAAAAAAAAAACAATAATTTTTTTAAATAAAAAAACAATTAATTTGGTCAAAATGAAATAAAAATTCATTACATTAAACTACAAAATGTCAAATACATTACTAAGTGCTTAACACATTACAAAAACATCATTTTCCAAAAATAAATATTACAATAAACATCATCTATACAACAAAATAAAAAATTTGGTCAAACTGAAAAATACGTTGTTATTTACAACACTTACAGTGCACTGATACAAGGCATACGCTTCCTCATTTGGGCCTAACAAAACAAAAAATTTATAAGTTATTCAAATTTATCGTATAGCATAAAATACATAATTGATAATTCTACTCTTACTCACCCATGTTTTCTAGTTTAATAGCCTTGAATCCAACCTCATCTTCACTTGTCAAATATTGTCTACAAGGATCAATGCTTACAACCGCAGCCTTTAAAATAAACATAACATATTTAGATGCAAAACATTAAATGGACAATAATACCCTTACTTCTAAATGACAAGATTTATCAAAATTTCACACGTTTGGATTTACCTTGCCTTTTCCAGGTGATGACTAAATAATGGAACCAAAGGAAAGTCATTGTGTTTTGACAGCACCATCAGCACCTGCAATCACAACAACAAAGGTCTTGTAAGAATTAAAATAGGAAATGTTCATTCGCTAAATTAAAAATGAGAAATCTATTTCAGAAATGAATGTATCATCACCATAAATATTGAATCTCACCAAAGCAACATAAGGGGCAAAATAGGAAAAAGATGACACGGAAGGAGGAAAAAGATGCCCAATTCCCTAGTTGGAACCACAATCAATGCTTGTAGAGCTGATCTTTGTGTGTTTATTACTGAAAAAATCTGTAACAAGTATGCCAAAGTTTTCCCTGAACCTGTCTTTAGAACCAAATAATAATATTAATAAGTAAGTAGATAAATCATGGAAGATGTTATATGATAATGTTCATAAATGAACCATTTTACACAGGGATAAATTTGGTATTGATATATACAATACATTATAATTAAGAAATGTTCCATGAAAAATGTAAAAACAGAAAAAGTCTTAAGCAGTTAAGAAAATATTCACCTGGGCATGGAGAATGCAATCTTGGCCAGAGAGTAGAATTGGTAGAGCTTGTCTTTGTATCTCTGTAGGCATAAGGAATCCAAGTTCTTCAATTCTGAAAACAAAATCAGGAAAATCAATCATCTCATACTTTTTAGCATTGGTCAAAGCAAGAAATCATCCTAAATACATCTCAATTTGTAAACATGAGTTCCTTGTAGCCCCTTGCTCAATTATTCATCAAATCAATCTAAATGTGTCTCAATTTGTAAATGTAATCTTAAGACAATGTTCTGTTGTTTGGAGTATATACTTTATTTAAGAAGTTATATTTACTTGTCATGATATCAAAGGCCACAAATGATCCCACGATTATGTTAATGGGATTTGTCAATGGTAATTCTAGTATACAAAAAGCTAGAATCATAGTAACTGTATGTACATTAAGCTTCAATATAATCACTACTATAATTGTAACATTTTCTATGGAGTCATCGAGAAGTAGAAATTGAAAAAAAAAAACAAGTAATTGAGCATTAGATATCAAAAACTCCCATTATTGTTGTATGCATGAAGTAAATATCAAAAAATAAAATAAAATAAGTCTAGGGTTTTGCTTGGAGATGAAATCGAGCAGCAGCAGAGAAGAAATCGAGCAGGAGATATGCGATTGAGGAAGTAGAAATCGAAAACTCACTGCAAGGTTGGTTTAGCGGTGACAGCAAGGTCGATCGGTGGTGATGCTAAAGCGGTGATGGTGATGTCGATTGCAGATGAAATTGAAGACAAAAAGGTTGAAGAAGAAAAGGTGGGAGATTGGAGGCGGCCGGATTCGGGAGGGAAACAAAACCTCAAAATATTTGGGGGAAAAGGAAGCGGGTAAACAAAACCTAGAAATATTTGGGAGGCTAGGATTCGAACTCAGATTCTACATGTACAATGTCAAACATTCAACCAACAGGTCGGGCATGCCACATCCATATACACAAGCTCCTTAACTTCTTTTATACAATACCGAAGTGCATTCCTTTATTATTATTATTATTATTATTATTATTATTATTATTATTGAGCTTCAACAGTTTATACATGAGTTTACCGCATTTTTTTTAAACGAACCATTTCAGCATCTTATGGGGCTTTTGTACATGCTTAATGATTACTTGGACCAGATTTTGTATTCTGAAACTTCACATGGTTACAGAACAAAATAAAGCTTAGTAATATTTGTTTCTTAACAAACCAGATAATAGCAAAGAATTTAATAAAGATGATGTTGTAGTAAGCAGAATCCGTAGGGATATCGATGTTTGACCTGCAAATCAAGCTTGATGCTTCGCCTGCAAATCGATGTTAAAACAAAACATAAACAACAACAAACTGATGCATAAATGATGACGATGAGGATGATGATTATGATGATGACGATGACTATTGATAGTGTGATGGTGATGGTGATGGTGGTTGGTGGTGGTGGTGGTGGTGGTGGTGATGGTAATGGTGATGATGGTGATGGTGATGTTGATGGTGATGGTGATGATGGTGGTGGTGATGGTGGTGATGGTGATGGTGATGGTGATGGTGATGGTGATGATGATGATGATGATGGTGGTAGTGATGATGATGATGATGGTGGTGGTGGTGATGATGATGGTGATGGTGACGGTGATGGTGATGGTGATGGTGATGATGATGGTGGTGGTGGTGGTGATGGTAATGGTGGTGATGGTGATGGTGATGGTGATGGCGATAGTGATGGTGATGATGGTGGTGCTGATGATGATAATGATGATGATGATGGTGGTGGTGATGATGATGATGATGATGGTGGTGGTGATGATGATGGTGGTGATGGTGATGGTGATGGTGATAACGGTGATAGTGATTTTGATGACGGTGATGATGGTGGTGGTGGTTGTGGTGGTGATGGTGATGATGATGATGATGGTGATGGTGATGGTGATGGTGATGGTGATGATGATGATGATGGTGATGGTGATGGTGATGGTGATGGTGATGGTGATGGTGATGGTGATGGTGATGGTGATGGTGGTGATGGTGGTAGTGATGGTGATAACGGTGATAGTGATGGTGATGACGGTGGTGATGGTGGTGGTGGTTGTGGTGGTGATGGTGATGATGATGATGATGATGATGATGATGATGATGGTGGTGATGGTGGTGATGATGGTGGTGATGATGATGATGGTGATGATGATGATGATGATGATGATAGTGATGATGATGTTGATGTTGTTGATGATGATGTATATGAGTTTGTGAGATGTATGTGAACGTATTCATAAGCATTATAGTGTTAAACAACTAAATGAGCAATGAATCTCGTATGTATACACGACTTTATAAATGATATTAATAGCTATAGATTGGTGAAAATATAGATAATCATGTATAATAGAGGTGTGAAAAAAATGGAGCGAAAAAAAACGACGTTTGGTGCCCGAAAAATCAAAAATAAGAAAAATCCGTAGCAAATCCGTAGCTAATTAGCTACGGAATAGCTACGGAATTCTAACGGAAAACATATTCCGTAGCTAATCCGTAGTTAATTACCTACAGATTAGCTACGGAATATGTTTTCCGTTAGAATTCCGTAGCTATTCCATAGCTAATTAGCTACGGATTTGCTACGGATTTTTCTTATTTTTGATTTTTCGGGCACCAAACGTCGTTTTTTTCGCTCCATTTTTTTCACAGCTCTATTATACATGATTATCTATATTTTCACCAATTTATAGCTATTAATATCATATATAAAGGCGTGTATACATACGAGATCCATTGCTCGTTTAGTGGTTTAACACTATAATGCTTATGAATACGTTCACATACATCTCACAAACACGTATACATACACATATACACGTACACATATACCACAACTCATTCATGTATATAAATATATATAAAAAAACATAATCCATCAGAAGTTGGTGAAAAATATAGGCATTACAATGTTAAACTGTGAAACGAGTACTTGATCCCGAAAGGGCACACGACTTTATGAACGATATTAATAGCTATAAGTTGGTGAAAATATAGATAATCATCTATAGTAGAGGTGTGAAAAAAACGAAGCGAAAAAAACGACGTTTGGTGCCCGAAAAATAAAAAATAAGAAAAATCCGTAGCTAATCCGTAGCTACTTAGCTACGGATTAGCTACGGAGTTCTAACGGAAAGCATACTTCGTAGCTAATCCGTAGGTAAATAGTATTTGTAGGTATCCCGTAGCCATTCCGTAGCTAATTAGCTACGGAATAGCTACGGATTAGCATATGTAGCTATTCCGTAGCAATTCCGTAGCTATTCCGTTACTAAATTAGGGCATCCCATTCCGTAGCAATTCCGTAGCTAATTAGCTACGGAAATTTTCCGTAGCTATTTTCCGTAGGAAAACCCTATGTTTTCTAGTAGTGCTCTAGTATTGTCCAGTAAACTCGACCGTGGCGGCCTTATCTGCTTCATCTGGAAACTCGACAACAACTTTTTTTGGAAACTCTTCGATGGCTTCCTTAACAAACCCTAGCTCGCCCACGCCTTTGTTTCTCTCTTTCTCCATTGATTTTTAGCGCAACAAACCAACCCTTCGTTGTGGACTTCACCTATCGCCGTAAAAAAACCCTAATCGGTCGATGGTGGTTGTGAACGTTGTTTTCGGTGGCAGAGACAGTCATCATCTTCGTCGCCGTATATGTTGAATGTCATTGTTTTCGTCGCAGATCTGGATGCCGTCTGTGAGATCTTAAGCAACTCCTCCGACGTTGTCCTTTATCTTTGACGATGCTATGGTGAGAGTGGCAACATAAAGAAGGCGACGAAAATGATTTTCCGGTGACGACAACAATGACGGTGGTTCGACTATGATAGTGATTTTGTAGACAGTAGCCGACTGATGACAATGGTGACGGTGGTTGTTGTCTCTGATAAAATGAGGAGAGAAAGAGATATTGTATTTGTATATGTGGATGGGATAGGGGTTATTAGGGGTGGTGTTATATATATATATATATATATATATATATATATATATATATATATATATATATATATATATATATATATATATATATATATAGGGAAATGATCAAATGAGAACGCCTAAAAGGTTGAGAACGCGAGAACAAATTTGGTACATTAAATATTTATAATCTAAGGATCTCATTGTTAATTAATATAAAGAAATTAATAAATGAATTTAATTGTTTTTTAATTAAAAAAATATAAAAGGGTATTCAAGTAATTTTATGATGCTATCCAATTTGAATATATCGGGTAAGTTTGAAAATTAAAAGAAACCGTTCCTATGTTTTAGTAATCACAGTTACCTTCTAATGTTTTGGATGATTCGATCGTATCTTTAAAGAAAAATAGCGTCACGGATAAACGATTATACCACATTCGAGTGATACTGTGCATTCGGGAAGAGTTATTTTGCATTTTGAACTTTGTGAAGCGTCGTAGGTGGAGCAATGTCGTCGTTGATCAATCGAAGTGGAAGAAGTAAGTTTTCTAATCTTTATTGAATGTCGATTGACTGGAAAACGTGTGTATTAGTGTGTTTAGGTTTTTATAATGTGTACATTTGACGATTCTTAAAACCCTAGAAGTTGGGTGTTTCGTTTTTTCTTTATATCGTCGATTATGAACTGTAGGTATTCTTCATCTCTGATGAATGTTGTTTTAAATGTTTTGTTTCACAAATAACACGTTGGTGTATTTGATTGTTAAAATGAAAATGGTAATTATAGATGAGTTCCGAATTTACGGTATTGTGATTTTGAATGTGCTTAAAAATCAACAGTTTATGATTGTGTTTGATAGTTATAAAATGAATATACATGTGTAATTGTAGTCGACTACTTTGAACTGAAATAAGGTTACGTAAACCCAAAAATTAGGGTTTTTTTTACATCATAAGTAGCACAGGAAGAGTAATTGATGTTAGTATTTGATTGTGAATGTTTTTTAGTTGACAAATAATAGCGAATTGTTAGAATGTCATTCATTAATAATGATTACTTGTAAAATCCGATTATGCGACAGAAGTACTTTTCAAGTATTAATCGTTGTTGTTGGTTGTATGTTTTGAATATAGTTAAAGTGATATTCAGTTGTGAATGGGTACTTTATTGAGTATGTATGTGGTTTTGATCCTGTACATGTTTTTGTATGTAAAGATTAATGATGTAGGAGTGCAAACTGTTTTATGTGGGTAAGTTAATTGCACTGTATGTTTGTTGATGATCGTTGTAAACATTACTCTAATTTTGGGGAGAAGACGAGTCATTGATGTTAGTATTCGATTGTGAATGGTTTTTATTAGAAAAAGAATAATGAAGGGTATAAATGTCATTTATTACTATTGATTACTTGTAGAAACGGATTGTTTTTGAGACATAAGTACTTTTTCTATTATTATTCCTTGTTGTTGGTTGTATGATTTGAATATTGTTAAAGACATAGTCATTTGTGAATATGTACTTTGTTGACTATGTTTTGTATGTTAATACTAATGATGTATGAGTCCCAACTGTTTTACGTCAGTAAGTTAACTACACTTGTTGTTTATTGATGATTATTGTAAACATTCCTCTGTTTTTTGGGTATGTGTTTAATGTAGAATGTATAATGGATGATTATTTGAGTTGTTAATGTTTCAATTCTGAGTTATAAATGATTAAGGTATATTAATGCTATTATTAGGTAGAAAGAAAAGCGAGAGGATATTACTAAAAACGGCATTCAGCAAATTCACTAATGAAGAATCAAATCCATTGCTTATTGATATTGAAGATGCAGACAATGAAGGAAACAAACTAGTACAACCTCAGATTAGAAGAGAAGGACAGAAGAAGTTTTCAACACCTAAGAAGAAAACTAAAAATCAAACTATTGGTGATGATGATTATATGAAATTTAAAATTTTAAATATCAATTTGAATCTATAGTGATTATGAATCTTATTTTTTGGATAGGTGTGGGGGAACGTGTTAATGGCACACCAACTCATTCAATGCGAAGGGATCTTAAAGTTGTAGTTTTGAGCTCAGATTCAAGTAATGTACTTGTTTAGAAATAAATTTATTTACAGTTTGATGTTGTAGTTAGTTTTAATAACTTGTTTGTTTTGTATTTATTAATAGAAAAAAACAGGAAACCCAAAGTCAATGTGAAGAAGGTTGATGGAGGAAATTCAAGGTTCTCTAAAGCTAAAAAAAATATACAGAAAAAAAAGGTATGAAGGATTATTTCATGAAATGTAACTTATATATTAAAGTATCTTCAGTAATGATTATGTTGTCTAATTATTGATAGGATTCATTGAAAGTTATGACTTGACAGAAGACAGTGGATTAAATAGGGAAAATGAATTGAGAACAAAAAGACGTTTTGATAGATGTAAAACAAAAGGTGATGAAGTTGTTGTTATAAACTCATTTTCAGGTAGTGTTATTTTCTTTAATAAATGTACTATAGCATTGGTATGGTAATTTATTTATAATCATTTATTGTGTTAAATTTGACTTAACAGGAAAAGATAATGTTACTGTCAAAAACCTTGACGAAGATGAAGACTCTGATTTTGAGGCAGACATAACCGTGGTAACAAGGAAAAAGAGAAGGCATCATACTTCATTCAAAGATGATGACAAAGAAAATATGAAGAAATTTAAAAGACAAAGGAATAAAGAAGGAAATGTGTTGAAGCCAAGAAAACATCCTAAAGTTGTAGCAAGTGGTGCAGAAGAAGCTAAGCGAATACAAGTACGGACATCTCCAAATGTTTTGTACAGTTGTATGCATAACCTTAGCAAGGAACAGGAAGGTTATATTTCTTCTATTGGTCTGGGGCATTTGTTGAAGATGAAAGTGGATGGGTGTGCATCAATTATGGGGCATTATATTGTAAGGAATTCTAACGCAGATAGGATGGTACTCAAACTTCATCATGGAGAGATACCAATCAATCGGCAAGTTATTCACGAAATGCTGGGTCTGCCTCTGGGACATGTTACAATAAAGTCTATGCCTTATAGAGAAGTCACAGATGACACGATAACTGTTTGGAGAAAACAATTCGAAGATGAAGATAATATTAGACCAAGGGCAGTTCAACAAGTTATTATGCAGCCAACACGTGCGGATTTAATGTTTAAAGTAAACATCTTTGTCCTGTTGTGTAATACACTAGGTCAGTCGATTGTGACATCCCCATTTTCACGGCCAGAAAAGACCGATTTTGTTTATGCTTTATAAAAATCAGAGTACTTCATTTTATAAAAAGGTTGCGGAATTTGTTCCCAGAAAAACACGATAAATACGTTATTAAAACATTTTCGAAGAAACGTATTTTTATTCATTTAAAACGTTTGGGATGTCATCGTTAATACAGAAACATAAGCATAAACAGAACTTACATGTATTTACACTAGTGATCTACATCTCTTTAAATCTCTCAGTGTAAAGTGACTTCGTATCAACACCTGTGATATAAATAAACTGAGTGGGTCAGGTTGGGAAACCTGGTGAGTACATAGGGTTTTCAACCCACAATAATATAATTATTATGTTCAATCAAAGAATCAACCCAATTACCCATCCCCGTTATCTTTTTTTTTTACTCTTTAAGGATTTATCCTAAGAGTCATCTATTCTTCATTCGTTTATTCCGAAGTCCCTTACTTCCAGGGTTCTAGGACTGGCACTAAATCCATAGCTGCCAATGTTCGTTCATAAAGCACTAATTCCATAGCTGCTATAGTCTATTCATCGGGTACTAAATCCATAGCTACCAGTCTTTATCTAATAGGTACTAAGTCCATAGCTACCAATGTTCAACAGGTACTAAATCCATAGCTACCAACGTCTAACAGGTACTAAGTCCATAGCTACCGGTGTTTGTCCCATAGGCACTAAGTCTATAGCTGCGAATGTATACTCACATCATCTTCTATCTATCATCATTTATCTACCCATCATCATACCCAACATATTCGTATATATAAAATACGTATACAGTTTAAATCCTTTAAAACATGTATAAAACGTTCATCCAGCATAGACAGCAAGTATTCAGATAATATGCACACATAGCACGTAGTTTATATAAAATACTTCATATCTATGTGTAGATACTTTATATAATAAATACTTCATATCTATGTGTAAGATGAAAGGACCATGCACTCACAACACGTAAATTATATAATAAATACTTCATATCTATGTGTAAGATGAAAGGGACCATGCACTCACCTGAGAAGGTGGTGACTCGGTACTCGGACAGCGCTTCGTTTACTTTAAAATAATTTCTTTCGACGAAACCTAGTATTATCACCAATAGATTTTAGTCTATTATTCGCCGAGACTAATTAATAGTCTAGCTATTATTACTATTATATAAGCGTTAAAAAAATACTTATATAACCCATAATAATAGCCCAAGTATTTATTATATGTTCTTAATAACGTTAATATAATTAAATAAAAACTATATTAAAAATAGCGTAGGCGTAGCTCACTTACAACGGGTTTTATAGAAAACCAGGCTTTGCTTGGAGCAGCGTTTCCGAGCCGAAAAGCTCTTCTTCTCGGAGCCGTCGAGCACTCCGGGGCTTCCGCCTCGTGCTAGGGAGGTTCCCTAGGCTTTTCGGGGGATTTCGGGGCTAGAGAGAGGTTCTAGAGAGAGAGTAAAGAGAAGAAAGAATGGGAAAGGTGTGAAGAAAATGAGGGTGGGAGAGGTGGTATTTATAGGGTGAAAATGGCTGAACTTGGTGCCACATGTCACCATCTAGTGGCAAGACTTGGGGAGAAAGCAATGGCCAAGATTGTGCCACATCACCCATTTTCGCATAGCACACTTCCGACTTCTAAAATCCGTAACTTTCACATACGACCTCTGTTTTTGACGTTCTTTATATCCACGCGTAGGTAAAAATAATATCTACAACTTTCATTTTGACTCCGTCGGCTAATTCTCGACCGATCTTAAATTTAACAGTACGAGGCGTTTAGACTGTTAAATGACCGCGAAGAATTCGTAACTCCTTCATACCGACTCCGTTTTCGTCTGTATTTTTACCGTTGAGTTCCTATTAATGAGATCTTGAACTCTCATTTAGGTCACGTAAGCCAAAAACCGCTCGAACTAAAATTCGAGTTTCGGGTCGTGCACTGCTAAGCCGAATCTTAGAAAAATCATAACTTCCTCATACGAAGTCAGATTTGGGTGTTCTTTTTATCGACGCTCTTAGTTTAACATATTCTACGACTTTGGTTTAGATTGCTAAGGATAAATCTCGCTCTATCGTAAATTCACTATTTACGCTTCCCGGTGCCGTGCCGGTTTTGCCGTAAAACTTCGACGGGCCATAACTTCTTCGTTATAACTCGGATTTCGGCGTTCTTTATATGTACGGAAACCTTGTGACATATTCTACAATTTGGTTAAGATTATTTATTCTAAATAATCTTTTGTCGAAAAGTCATTTTCAACCCATATTGCCTCTAAATTGACTAGCCCGGATCTGCGGGCGTTACAATTATCTCCCCCTTAGGATGATTACGTCCCGGAATCATCAACGAAACAGGGCTCGTATATTGACTCCATACGTCATCTCTTCATCCTAGGTAATAATTATAACTTCTTTATTCATTCGAGTCTATCTTTTAGACTTATTGTCTGTAAGTAGTACTTAATTGTGCACCTGCTATCTTCTTCAGGTTAGACTCCAGATTACGACGTATCATCATGTGATGCTCGTTTAGACTTAGGTCTTTTAGAGTTAAATTCTGAAATAAACTATTCCTTCCTTCACGTTCTAATGTGATATAATCACACTTTAACATGTAGCATTTCTAGCTACCAACTTCTTTAGCGTCGAGCCGATACTTCTATTGGTCTCTTTGATTTTTAATCGTTTGGTTTAAGTCGGACGCTATATCAAACTTGGTTCTCTGAACCACGTAACCTACTCATCGTAGTCGGACTCAATGTGACATGACCACTAGGGTTGGGATAACAACAATCTTCTTAGTCATTACCGAAACAATGGTAACGGCATACTTGAATAAAACGAAATCAATTACTGGCTTCTTGGTAACCTTGTGACTTTCCCTGATCCAAGTGTGAGTCCTGTGCTTCCGGTAGTATAGGCCTCTACTACCATTCACACCTACTCATACTCGTCCCAAGTATTGTCCCGCAGTTTCCCAAGTCACCATGCAACAATTCATACAATCATTCAACACATCAGATAACAAAACGAAGGTTTTATATCATTTCTTGAAACGATTACATAGGTGTTCAAGTTCACCCTAGACTATGCCTCTACTAGGCTACATCATACGAAACTATGACTACTGCATAATCCGATCCTCGGGTAAGAAGTCCTCATTCTTGATTCCTCGCATGGTTCTCTGCTTCGTCGAGGATCATGTGAAATGCCCTTGGCCTTGGTGGCGTTTCTGGTCTTGCTGCTTTATTTTTCTTTGGGCAGTCTCTGGACATGTGCCCCTTGCCTCCACATCTATAGCATACTTTGTCATTATGCGTGCAGTCTTTGGAATAGTGACCAGTCCTCCCACACTTGTAACAAGTCACTTCTTCGTTGCACTTTCCACCATGCTTCTTCTTGCATCTATCACACCATCTTGCTTCACCTCCATTTGCTCCTCCAAACTTTGAGAATTTGCTTTCCTTGTTCGGCCTCGAAGATCCTTCAAACTTCCGCTTCTCTCCTACCTTATCTTTTTCTAGACCTTTTTCTCTTATCTGGGCCTCTACGTTCTTAGCTGCCCTAACAGCTGCTTTCAAAGTAGTTGCCATTTTGACCATTGGGCCAAAGTCAATGGGTAGTCCGTTAGCAAACCTATCAATCTTGGAGAGTTCAGTAGGCACCAAGTAGGGGAATAGCTTCATCCTTTCGGTGAATGCGGTGGCATACTCGTCAATACTCATCTTTCCTTTCTTCAGGTTCTGAAACTCGTTGTTTAGGTCTATCAGATCTATCTCCGAGCAGTATTGCATTTTCAACTGTTCCAAAAACTCTTCCCACGACATCCTTAAGGCTTCTCCTCGTGGCATCGTATCTGCCAATAGCTTCCACCAGCTCAAGACTCCAGTTTTCAGCTGTCTTACTGCGAAGACAGTCTTCTGTTTCTCGTTACAGCTGCAGCTCTCAAACACCATCTCCATCTCAGAGATCCAATCCATAATCTCAACCGGCTTCGGGCTTCCTGAGAGATTTGGGGGTTTCGCACCCAAGAAATTCTTGTATATCCGCCCATCCTTGTTGTTTCTCCCTTCAGGGTCATCCCTTTGCTCACCTTGAGTCCCTACTTGACTCACTTGGCGGCTGTAGTTCCCTTCCTTTGATTGCTCGGGAACTGGCTCTGTCGGTTCAACATGTACGGTAGGTTCGTCCCTATTTAACATTTGTCTCATTTCTTCCCTTTGTTCAGCCAACATAGCCCGAATCATGGCTTGAACTCCAGCCATGGTGACTGGATCAAGCGCAACTTCTTCTACAATAGGTATTTGCTGAACCACTGGGGGTTGGATCCTGTTCCCATTTGCGTTTACGTTTCCGCTACGGGTTCTTGCCATCTTGATCTATACACCGAATAAGGTGAATCTAGATCTTAATTTAGGATTGACGTCTTAAATCATCCTTATCACTCCGAAACGTTTATATGCTAGTTCTAATATCGTAGTCGTACATTTAGAATCCTAAACACATAAGGTTTCCAGATCCGGTCGGCAACAGACCATAGATCCGAACAACTAACAGCATATCAGGCACAAGTATTTAGCACATAAAAGCATTTTAGGCATAATTCCTAAAATAAGCTAGTGCTCACACCTCACAATCATCGCTTAGCATTCTAAGTTTAAGTCTAGAAATAGATTCATATTCCTAGTTCGCTTAAACTAATGCTCTGATACCAACTGTGACATCCCCATTTTCACGGCCAGAAAAGACCGATTTTGTTTATGCTTTATAAAAATCAGAGTACTTCATTTTATAAAAAGGTTGCGGAATTTGTTCCCAGAAAAACACGATAAATACGTTATTAAAACATTTTCGAAGAAACGTATTTTTATTCATTTAAAACGTTTGGGATGTCATCGTTAATACAGAAACATAAGCATAAACAGAACTTACATGTATTTACACTAGTGATCTACATCTCTTTAAATCTCTCAGTGTAAAGTGACTTCGTATCAACACCTGTGATATAAATAAACTGAGTGGGTCAGGTTGGGAAACCTGGTGAGTACATAGGGTTTTCAACCCACAATAATATAATTATTATGTTCAATCAAAGAATCAACCCAATTACCCATCCCCGTTATCTTTTTTTTTTACTCTTTAAGGATTTATCCTAAGAGTCATCTATTCTTCATTCGTTTATTCCGAAGTCCCTTACTTCCAGGGTTCTAGGACTGGCACTAAATCCATAGCTGCCAATGTTCGTTCATAAAGCACTAATTCCATAGCTGCTATAGTCTATTCATCGGGTACTAAATCCATAGCTACCAGTCTTTATCTAATAGGTACTAAGTCCATAGCTACCAATGTTCAACAGGTACTAAATCCATAGCTACCAACGTCTAACAGGTACTAAGTCCATAGCTACCGGTGTTTGTCCCATAGGCACTAAGTCTATAGCTGCGAATGTATACTCACATCATCTTCTATCTATCATCATTTATCTACCCATCATCATACCCAACATATTCGTATATATAAAATACGTATACAGTTTAAATCCTTTAAAACATGTATAAAACGTTCATCCAGCATAGACAGCAAGTATTCAGATAATATGCACACATAGCACGTAGTTTATATAAAATACTTCATATCTATGTGTAAGATGAAAGAGACTATGCACTCACAACACGTAAATTATATAATAAATACTTCATATCTATGTGTAAGATGAAAGGGACCATGCACTCACAACACGTAAATTATATAATAAATACTTCATATCTATGTGTAAGATGAAAGGGACCATGCACTCACCTGAGAAGGTGGTGACTCGGTACTCGGACAGCGCTTCGTTTACTTTAAAATAATTTCTTTCGACGAAACCTAGTATTATCACCAATAGATTTTAGTCTATTATTCGCCGAGACTAATTAATAGTCTAGCTATTATTACTATTATATAAGCGTTAAAAAAATACTTATATAACCCATAATAATAGCCCAAGTATTTATTATATGTTCTTAATAACGTTAATATAATTAAATAAAAACTATATTAAAAATAGCGTAGGCGTAGCTCACTTACAACGGGTTTTATAGAAAACCAGGCTTTGCTTGGAGCAGCGTTTCCGAGCCGAAAAGCTCTTCTTCTCGGAGCCGTCGAGCACTCCGGGGCTTCCGCCTCGTGCTAGGGAGGTTCCCTAGGCTTTTCGGGGGATTTCGGGGCTAGAGAGAGGTTCTAGAGAGAGAGTAAAGAGAAGAAAGAATGGGAAAGGTGTGAAGAAAATGAGGGTGGGAGAGGTGGTATTTATAGGGTGAAAATGGCTGAACTTGGTGCCACATGTCACCATCTAGTGGCAAGACTTGGGGAGAAAGCAATGGCCAAGATTGTGCCACATCACCCATTTTCGCATAGCACACTTCCGACTTCTAAAATCCGTAACTTTCACATACGACCTCTGTTTTTGACGTTCTTTATATCCACGCGTAGGTAAAAATAATATCTACAACTTTCATTTTGACTCCGTCGGCTAATTCTCGACCGATCTTAAATTTAACAGTACGAGGCGTTTAGACTGTTAAATGACCGCGAAGAATTCGTAACTCCTTCATACCGACTCCGTTTTCGTCTGTATTTTTACCGTTGAGTTCCTATTAATGAGATCTTGAACTCTCATTTAGGTCACGTAAGCCAAAAACCGCTCGAACTAAAATTCGAGTTTCGGGTCGTGCACTGCTAAGCCGAATCTTAGAAAAATCATAACTTCCTCATACGAAGTCAGATTTGGGTGTTCTTTTTATCGACGCTCTTAGTTTAACATATTCTACGACTTTGGTTTAGATTGCTAAGGATAAATCTCGCTCTATCGTAAATTCACTATTTACGCTTCCCGGTGCCGTGCCGGTTTTGCCGTAAAACTTCGACGGGCCATAACTTCTTCGTTATAACTCGGATTTCGGCGTTCTTTATATGTACGGAAACCTTGTGACATATTCTACAATTTGGTTAAGATTATTTATTCTAAATAATCTTTTGTCGAAAAGTCATTTTCAACCCATATTGCCTCTAAATTGACTAGCCCGGATCTGCGGGCGTTACAGTCGATGAGCATGGGCACGTGTGACCTGTCGATGTTATCAAAAGTGACTAAAGATCTGGATCTAAGTGACATTGATTGGTGTGGATATGTTTTTGATTGCCTTAAGGAGACAAAAAGTGCGTGGAATCCAAACAGCAAAAAAGGATTCTATGTTGGGCCAATTATATTACTGCTGGTAAAATTTGTTTTAAATTAAACTGTCATTCAATATTTGTAGCCTTATGTGTGCAGATTCATTAAAGTGTATTTAAGTAAAACATTTTTTATTTGTCTTTGTTGTAGTTGCTATACGTAGAAAGTGTTCGATGCGATTCAGTGAAGATTGTACGATGCAGACCAGCAATATGTTGTTGGAGTGTTGATAAACTACGTGAGCAAGAAAGAGTAGAGTGTAGGACAATTGGTCTGGGTATGGGTGAATTGCAAGATGCATTTCAATTCATCAATGAAGCATCAGGAACTCGTAATGTAGGGCAAGAAAAAGTTCAGGTAATATTTTATTGTATTGAACAATGCATATGAAATTTATTATTTGTTTATTTGGTATAGTATAAATTAATTACATTCATAAATTATTGATAGGGAAATGATGCAGGAGATGTAAGGTGTAAGGTAGTATTATAATATAATCATAACTAAATAATAAGTTATTAGTACAACAACTAATATTGTGTTGCTTTTCGTAGGGAAATCATGGAGATGATATTTTTAGTGGAAGTGGGGAAACTGTTGAGGTAGTTAACTACCTATTCACATTTGAATAATGAGTTTCTACAGTATTAATTAATACTAACTGACATATTAATATTTTTATTTGGTTTGTAACATAATTCTATTGTGGTGACCTATTTAGACAACTGTTTCAACAATAAAGGAGATGTACGACATGATATTGCAGCAAAAGAAAGTGTTGGAAGAAAAATAAATGATGCTGTCAAGAAATATCCTGATAATCAGTTGGTCAAAGAATGGAAAAACAAAGTAAATGATTTGTTTACTGAAGTTTCTGCATCAGAGGAACCAGAACAATCTCAATGGTGGTATGATAACGAGGCTGAAATTGAACGTACGCTGATTCTAGCTACAACTAACAAACAGTTTGACAACTCCGCGTTAGCAAAATGTAGTATTCAAATGTCACAGGAATATGCAGATTTCGCGAATAGATCTGGAACAAAATCTTTTAAGAATACACCACCATCTAAAATGGAAATGCCAATTCCTTTGTCTGTAGTACCATTCAACAAAGATGAACATTGGGTTAGTAGAAGAGGGTACAGGCCTCGCATGAAATCCGAATATCTGAAATCTCCTTACGTTATACGGGCTGTTGATATCATCAAAGGAGTTCCACGGCAGGAAAAACGTGTAGCAGAATGGATATTCTCTCTCCAGGGAGATCCAAAGTAAGTTGCATTTAAAATATTTTTAAAATTACTTACTTTTATTGTTTGCTCATTAAAAATAGTATTAATTGTTCACGTCTATTGCAGTGATATAGTTTTCCACACTCTGGATGGGTTTTCTGCACAGAGGTTTCATATGGAAAGTTTTTTTCCAACATGTGAACTATTTGGCCATGTCATTGATTGTTGGAGTCAAGTGTTGAATCTTGATGAAAGTAAGCGTGCACCTGAATCGCCCCTGAGAGTTTATTGCAAGACAGATGTGACGGTATAAGTTAATATTGTTCGATGTTGATTGTATTATTTTTTAAATACAAACATATAAAGAAGTTAACGAGTTTTTAAAAATCGATCACAGAATTCGTATCTAGAAAGTGGTTTAACAGAAAGTCAACGTAAAGATAAATTCATTGAGAATTTGGTGCTTTCTATTGAAGATATGGACGCAAGCCTACGTTTTGTTGGACTGGTAAGATATATATCTCCACAGTTTACTTACATGTGTATTTATCATTGATCAAATATGAATATAAATAAAGTGAATACAATTGTAATTAATAAACGTTGCAGCTTTTCCTACCAATCATCCGTTCCTTCCACATTTTCCTTTTTGTGATCAATCTACAACAACCAGAGTTTGTAATCGTTGACAACAGCAAAGTTGATGATCCTGATGGTGAGAGATATGGTCAGTTGCCCCAAATCATTGTAAGTGATTAATAAAAATTACTTTACATACTTAATAAAATTTAATATGTGTTAACAATGTTTTTTTTACATTTTCAGAAAGAGTACATAGTTGATTACTTAAAATCTCAGAATCATCCAAAAGCTGAGATGTTTTCACATGTGATGCCACATAGACTGGAAATGCCTTGGAGAACAATAAACAACAGCATTGATTGTGGTGTGTTTACGATGCGTCACATGGAAACATATATGGGGGAAGTATGAATGAGTTTAAAGCTGGATTCAAGAACGAGTCTTCTGCACAAGATGATCAACTTGTTAAACTGAGGACAAAGTATTTATACAAAATACTCACTCATGAATATAATGTGCAAAAGGATTATGTGCTGCAAAAGGTTGATGAATTCCACAAGATTCCTTCAAAACAACGTTCTCAAATGTTGGCCATTGCAAAGGAAGAAATTCACAGGAGATTGGATGTTTTAAGTTAATTGTTTTAAAAAGTAATTTTAGTTATGACTTTAATGGTTTCTTTTGGATGGATTAAAAACAATGCTTTTGTATGCTAAGGATGTTAACTTGGGTTGCTGTACGTACAATACTTACTTTTGGTTTGCTAATCTTAGTAATGGACTAGTGATATTTTAGTATTTATATTTTTACATTAACATTTGAATAATTAAGTTATCTTAGAAAATGATGATTAACATTGATGGTATAGTTTTAATGTATATTCAGTAATGATTCTAACTAACAAACATTTGTCAATATGCTATTTTACTATGAACATACAATCAGAGTTTTTAATAGTTAAAGTGAACATATCTATATTATATAATGATTGTTGGTGGGTTTATATCTTAAAGTAGGTTGTTATTTAAATATTGAATAATAGCATAAACACTTACTTGAAGTATTCCTAACATATTATACTTTAGTTCAACCTACATACTTACCTTTGGTTTGATAATTTTAGTAATGGACTAGTGATATTTTAGTATTTATATTTTTACATTAACATTTGAATAATTAAGTTATCTTAGAAAATGATGATTAACATTGATGGTATAGTTTTAATGTATGTTCAGTAATGAATATAACTAACAAACATTTGTTAATATGCTATTTTACTATGAACATACAATCAGAATTTTTAATAGTTAAAGTGAACATATCTATATTATATAATGATTGTTGGTGGGTTTATATCTTAAAGTATGTTGTTATTTAAATATTGAATAATAACATAAACACTTACTTGAAGTATTCCTAACATATTTTAATTTAAATGCAAATTGTTTTATCTTAAACTGAATAGTATTTAACAATGTTCATATCATCAATATGTTGAAAATAATTAACGTATTTATGATGTTATTCATTATTGACTACACTTAAGGGTTAAAAAGTCAACCATGGTTAAACTTATGACTAAAATTTACCCAAACGCAAACGTAAATCAATATATGATGTATAGCTATTTTAAAAGTTAATCGTACAAACATTTGGTATTAAGATATACTACTAACACATACAATAAACTATGAATATTGCTTGGATTGTATATGACTATAGTATATAATGATTGATGGTTTTATAATTTGAAAAAAGCACAAGTATATCTATTGTAAGTGCGAACTGTTTTAATCTAATAAAAGAGGTTTAAATACCAGATATTGTCATTAATCTGTTAGCATTACCAAATTTGGCATTGCTATTATTCATCTATGAATAAAATAAAAACTTCAAAAGTAATGAAAGTGGTTTAAGATAACATAACCTACTAAATCATAGAAACATATTCGTATTCATAAGTGTAATAGAAAAGTAAAATCTAATGGGAAAATGACTGGGCAATTTTAAGCTGCTTTTGACTCTCGTGCAAGTCTTACTTTGCAAGTCCTCCAATTACGGTTAACATATTGATTGCAACCTGTGCACATTCTGGTTTTTTTCTTCGCAGCTGCAACGGCTTTCTCAATAGCACTAACCATTCTTTTCTTAGTTCCACTACCTTTGGTACGTATAGATGCAGGTGGATGGATATTTATTTCATCAGGAATGCTGCGTATTCCAAGCATCCGAATAATTTCTTCTTCATCGTTATCAGATGATGTTTGGTTGGAACTGGCAAACTCAATTGCTGCCCGCTTCAACGTACGTGTTTTTTCAACAAACTCCAACAGTTTCTCTTTGCTTCTTTTAAAATGATCCAAGCAGTATTCAATATTGTTGTATGCCTCTGTTAAAAGTTTAAAGGTGTCATCTTCTATTTCCATGGCAACATGTTTCATGGCAAACAAATGGCTGGAAATTGCATCCCTACTCCATCTTCTTAGAATATACTGCTCTGGAATCTCTTCAATATGGTTGTTTTTCAGTACAGCAAAAATATGACGACACAAAATGCCAGTACGTATGAAGTGATTGCATGAACATTTAACTTCTTTTTCAGGCAACTTTAGTTCAACCTACATTGTATAATAAAAATAATGTATGTTAGTAACTGATTGAAGTAACATATTAGTTGGTGGTTATTGCATAATAATGAAAAAAATATATGTAATTTAAAAATAATTAGATATTATACTTGTATGATGACTAATGAAAAGCATTTAAACGATGAATATAACCTTGCATTTTATCTTCAACTGTTTGCTCTTATCCGTTTGTGTAATCATAACAACTTGCCACCCATCAATCTTTTCAACACTGTCGATAGAACAGTACCAGGCTGCTTTAAATATTTCCTTTTTGACCTCATAGAAAATCTTTTTTGTGTAAACCGCAGCTGCATGTTCTAGTAAGCCACTTGGAAGCGTCATTTCATGCTTTGCATTTTTTGTATCATGTTCTAGTTTCTGTTGAGCATTTCGTTGCTTTCCAATTGTGGTGTCGTAGTTCATCATGAAATAGATAAGCAAATTACCACAGTTAGAGTATTTATTAAAAAATGAGTTCACGCTTTCAGACCTTGAAGTAGTTTTCATCAGACCGTGTAGTGGCATGTCTTTAAAATAGGCTGGAATCCAAAGTTTTCTATCCCTGTACATGTCTTTGAACCATCTTTTGTCCTGTAGTTTGAATTTTCTCATAAGCAGTTTCCACCTTGATTCAAACACTTCAGGCTCGATATAGACATTCCATACAAGCTTTGTAAAACGCTTGCGAAAATCAGTGTTTTTCAAAAAATCGGCTGAAACCTAAAAAAAATAGAAATTTATTAGATTAACTATGAATAAACAATATGTATGCTAATCGTTATTAGAAATATGTAAAACTGTGTAAATCATTGTTGAATAAAACTGTTGCGTGCTAACTTAGGCCAAAATATACACACCTTGGCTTGTAGTTTTTTCATAATGTGCCACATACATAAACGATGATTAGAATTAGGAAATATTGCTTCAACGGCCTGTAGAATTGCTGGATCTTGGTCTGTTAACACTAATTGAGGGTGTTTCACATGTGCTTTCAAAAAAGCTTCAAGCAACCAACGATAAGATTCTATTGACTCGTTGCTTAACAAACCTGCCCCAATGTTTATTGAACGTTTGTGGTTATCAATGGCTGTAAACGGCACAAAAATCATTCCATACCTGTATCAAAAAGGTAATTAAAAACAAATTCAATATTGATTACGAAGTCAAAAAAACATCAATATTCATACTTAAAAAAAAGTGTGTAATGAGTATAAGAGCATACTTATTTGTTCGGAATGTAGCATCAAATGATATCACATCTCCAAACTCCTTGTAATATAACTTATCAGTTTCATCCGCCCAAAACATTGCGTTTAACACACTATCAACACATTTATACTCAAATGTGTAATTATGAAACTCATCTTTCCTCATGTTCATTTTGTCAACAACCAGCTGTGCATCCTTGTCACCAATAATGTTTCCCACCTTCCTTCTGAAATTTTTATAATCAATTGATTCAGGGCCAATATTTTCATAACCTCCTTGCAAACTAGCTTGTAACTTGTGTGCCTTTGTTGCACCAATGTTAGATGTTGAAGAACGCACTATAAACTCCTTGTCTTTGTAACTAAGTCGTCGTGCACGTTTGGAATACCGTCTTTCTTCTTTAGTCTCTAGGGGGTGGTTGTGATTCTCTTCAAACTCATATATTTTACAAGCATTAGTTTGCATATGTAACCTTTCAAACTTTATCAATGCCTTGCAGTCCGTAATTTTGAAGTTTGAGTTTCGTTTATTCCTTCCACTCCCCTCAGGATCCAAAGTGTCAGTTGATCTGTTAGGTATTTTACCCATTTTGTTGCAAACTACATACCTTTTTTTAATGGTTTTGTCACCAAACCTCGTTACTGTATTTAACCTGACACCAAAACCTGCTTTATCTGCATATAATTTATACATTTCAACCGCCTCCTCTAATGATTGATATATAGCATCTACATCTGGCATAAAATCTTTAGGAACAATAGGTTTCCACAACTTGGTTTTCCCACCAGGCGAGTCAACAACATTACTATTGAATGATTCCTCTTCAGAATCAGTTCGATTTGTACCTGTTTTTTAAGACAACAAAAAACAATAATGCGACATGCAAAACCTAATATAAAATTCTATGAATTACGTATACATAAACTAAAGAACTTTATAATCATAATAAACGTATGTGAAACAGTAACCAAAGTTGAATTGTTTACATGTTTGAGTCGTATTAACGCGTAATCACCAACGATTATCGAACTTAATCAATATTGTATTAAACTTAAGAAAAAAACACCAACGAGGGACTCCTGTACAACGATATGTGATATAAACCATCATTACGTAATTAATACATACAACGTATATGACTAATCATATACAAATATGTACTCGGTCTTATTCAACATATACAAAAACTCAATAACTATTGAAAAACACGATCTGTAATTACAAGATATTGACATTGTTTTCATTAGTTACCTTCACCAGCATAATCAGAGATCTGATTTCTTCCGTCGAATTGATCATCAGACTTATAGAAATCGTCGTCGTCATATTCATTACAGTTGACGTCTTCTTCGTCATATTGATCATCATCTTCTGTATCATCGCTACTGTAATCAAAACAGTCCGACATCGATATTGATTTGAATCACGAATGGTATACTGCGTTGTTATCTTCAAACGTAAATGATTAACAATATACAACATTCGACTGAAAATCCGATTGCTATACTCGATTGCTATACACGAATGGTCCCTGGACATCGTATCTTCAATTCAATATCTCATTGAACTATAACTATGGAATATCCCTTAATTATAGGAAAATATTAATGGATAATATATTGATTATTAATTATATTATATTAATTAAAAAATAGATTAAATACAAATTTACTTAAATACCCTAATAAAATGATTGGTTGATAATTATTCTCGCGTTCTCAACCTTTTTGGTGTTCTCATTTGATCCTACTCCTATATATATATATATATATATATATATATATATATATATATATATA